ACAAGATGATGACATTGTGTTATCTAATCTAGTCCATTTAATGTTTCGAGTATAAGGTGTGGTGTACTCGATGGGTGGATGGGTAATGAGTTTAAATAACGATAGATCTAAGCAGTACTAACTACTGAAAAGCCTTTGCTCAATAGTGGACTGTGACATCCATTATTTCTAAGTGAAGATATTTTATAATAATAGGTGAGAGTAATAGAAACCGTGGGTTTAGTTATTTAGTTTAGTAAGAGAATCTAGTTATATACCACAATAGCGAACAAACCAAGTTAGACCATACTCTAAACTTTTTACTCCACCGACTCTAATAAAATTGCACTGTTTTATTACATTACGTAATGTATTGCGATTTGCGTGTACTACAAAATCATTTTTTGAGCAAAAATATAGATAGATAGATAAAATGTTTAAAAACTGTATATATATATTATATATCTATGGTTTCTGGTGCATATCAAACGTCAAAAATTTTGTGTAACTTTGAACCAGTTAGATTTGTTATACCCATTATATGAATAATAGATATATTAACTATTTCATTACATACAAACCGTAGAGTTTTGAAAGATAATCATCATAGTTGCAGTACATTGTATTTATTTGCTGCAATCACGATCGCAATCATCTCGTTTGGATCACTGCGTTGCGGTTAGAAAGTAAAATATGCCTTCACTAAAATTGCCTACTCTGTAAAGAGCAAGGGAAGCCGAATCATACTGGCCTAGTAAATTTAATTTTGTATTTCGTAACTTATAAATATTTATGAGATTTGGTTGATTTTAAAGGTTTTTCTTTCTAAAGATTATTAAAGAAATATTAAGTAAAATCAGTTTTGATAGGGGTAAGGACTGGAAAAATAGAAATTAAAAATATAGATAATAATTTTATTTTTAATTTATAATTAATTTTATTTCTATGTTCTTAGGTACATTACGTTTTTATGACCAAAATTACGGTTATAACTCATAAGCTGTATTAAAAACGTTTAGAGCCTCTGCACACTGCAGACTTTCTACTAGACAGTTTAGTCATGCTCGTAATCATTATATACCAATAAAAAAGAAAAAAGTTACTAGTTACCAGATGTTACATCTTACGAACAAATTTACATACATACATACATATGTATAGCTAGCTATTACTATAACAACTATGTCAGTCTAAAATATTAATATACTTAGATATTATAGATAACACATCTATATATTATATTCTAAAGTAGGTATCTGTTGGAATCACGTTCATTACATCAGCGACTCAGGTTTTAAATAAAAACATCCTAATTGTAATTTTATGCTAAAATATGAGATAATTGTATACATTCGATAGCATCTACATTAAAATGAATTCATTATCATAATGTGTTTTTCAAAACAGTTCAAAATAACATATAAATTTTAAAAAATGACATTTTATCAGATTTTAATAGAATATAGAACAATAGTTAAACATATTGTGACGAATCTTTGTATAAATATATTTATTAAAAATAGTGTTCGCCCAGTGGTCGAAATTCGAGTATAATATATATCCATATATATATATATATATATATATATATATATATATATATATATATATATATATATTATTTTTTTATTCTTTATGTTTATAGAGGTTTTGATCATAGAGACCATGCCAATTTTATATGACCTACAATTTTTTTTATCTATTCTACTTTTTAAAATTAATTGTATTTTTTTTAGTGATAACACTATCGTCAAAAGCTACTAAACAAAAAAAAGAAAGAAAATCAGTTGACAAACGGAGGAGGAAAAGGTATTGAACTGTCTTTGTCTTTGCCTATTTTTATTATGTAGAAAAAAATATTAGTAGCTTGACTTTTTTATGCAGACTAGATTTTAGGCTAAGACATAGAGCATTAATGAAATTTGGTTCTAGTCAGGTATGCGTTAAATGTTTGGTTGTTTGTTAGTTTGTTTCGTCTTCTTGAAAGTAGTTAGTTTTTAAGTTTTAAAATTAATATATATGTTAGTTTTAAGGTATATATGTTATGGGCCTCTGTTTACATATTTAAGATCTTTTTGTAGATATTGCCTGAAATAAATAATTCAATTAAAAATTAAAAAATTAAAGATAATTTTATAGACTTAAAAGTCGTATACGGATACTTTTTATCCCGGTTCAAGAAATTTGATGTTAAATAGTGTACGATCAAAACGAGGATCTATCACTTGTCAATATTTTCAAGTTTAAGAGAAAGGAATAAGTATAATTAATATAATCGCAACACAAAACCAAGAATCTAATTACGACTTGTCATCGATGTTTACAGAATTAGATAAATCAAGTATTATTATTTTTCTATGCAAATTATACAATTGATTTTTAAAATTTATTCATCTTGTACAATACCTACCTCTATTTCTTTTGTTATTGCCTGTAGTTTAATAGTTAGGTATAAGTAACGAAATGTTGTTTGTTGATTGTAAATCTATACATATACTAAAATTCTGAGTCGTATATATTTGGAAGATATTATTAAAATAGTCATTATTATCGATACAGAGGTTGACTCTATAATTTTTAGAATTTTTGTCTGTCTGTCTATCTGTCTGGGAACGAATCATGAGAAAACCACTGGACAGATTTTGATGAGATTTGGTATGATGATATCTGATTATCCGGGTCAACATATACGATACTATTAACTGCGGGAAAATATCTCATCTCTGAAAAATCTATACTAAACGTTAAAACGTAACTAAATAAATATAAATTAATGTATATACAAAAAAATTATGTATAATAATGTTATATTTTCTTAACCTCTGATCAGAGAGATAATGACATATTTTATTTCCGTTAATTTATCTGTAGTTGGTAAGTATATTTTTTTCATAAAGTTTGATTACAACATTTTTTTTACTTTATAGCTTTTTTAGTTATTTATTAATGTAAATAGCCTAAAAATTAGTATACATTAGATAAAAATTGTTTCTATGCCGTATAATTTTTATTTTTAAGATAACATAATAAATATTCACTGTATAATATTGTTTAATTTATATTATGTTGGTAATAAGTTTTAACGTACTAAAAATATAAATATAATTACAGAATGTGTTATTTAACTTAATAAAGGAGTAACAAAAAACATAAAAACATACAATACGATTATTGTATGTATAGGTACATCTTTATTACCATAAAGCGTGTTAATACGACTAAAAAGGTATCAAGTAAAAAATGATAAGTTAGAATGAAATATTGTACATTGAATCATCATTTTCAACATAACGAATATATGCAGGTAGGTATATGTTGGAATATTATCACACAGCACCATAGTTAAGCTAGTTCTATGGTAAGCTACGGGGGTCTTGTTATGGATACCAGATAGTTGATACACTACATATATATAACTTTAAATACAAACATATTATACATATAAACACCCGTGACTGGAGTATATAGATTCGTGCTCATCACACAAATGAATGTCCCCAGCGGGACTCGAAACCGCTACCGCTGGCACAGCAAGTAGGATCACTACAAACTGAGCCAAACGTGTCGTGAACAAAAAAGCTTAGGTATATAATAACTTTTAGACCTAACAAAATAGAGGTACATACTATATAGCGTCACGGTCGACTTGCGCGATGTTACCAGCAATATAAATTGGGTCAAACTAAAAATAAAGATTTCAATTGTTATCCTCGCTGTAGACCGTTTACTAGTTTTATTTTGTTAGTTGTATACGATTTGTATTTTTTTAAACTGTACCTATGATATTTAATGTTTAAACGTGATGTTCAAATAGAACTTACTTATCAAGATAACTTTGTTGACATAAGAAAATTGATAATAAATTGTCGGATATGAAATAAAACTTAATTATTTTTTTAACTAAATAGTATAGTAGTACCTACACAGATTAAAAAAAAACGTGTGTGTGTACTTATGTACGCACGTAAGTAATTATACTTCTTTGGCGTAACAGAACAAAAATAGCTAAAGATTTCATCCCGTACGTCACAACTCTGTAAAAGGAATGCAGCTAGCTTCATCATGTCGCTTTTTGGCTGTCGGTGTGCGCGTGCATCGTGAAAATTTTACTCTCATATTTTTTCCAAGCGTACCAAAAGAAGTATAACTTCAAAAACATTTAAAACTCAGTACACTCCTATCTGAAGTGGACAAAAAAAATCTACTATGTAAAAGTAGATAATTTATTTTATTTATTCAGCCATAAAATAACCATCTTATAATTGAAAAGATAACAATATGAATAATCCATACAAAGTAATATATTTCCTGCGTCTTTACTTCTCTGTGTAATATGTAATGAGTGTAATAAAAAATATATTGGCAATTATAACTGGCAAGACCAAATAAAGACTAATTTATAAAAGCCAAGCAAAGCGTGTCGTTTAAAAGAATCATATGTAAGCAAACAGGAATAGCCATTTTCCAGGTTTGACCCACTTGGGCGAGCTGGGATGCAAGGATGCCGGTCCGGTGCAAGAAACCGGTCAAGTCACTAACTCGCCATACCGGTCTATCGCTTCTTATACTAATTCGAATAAACTCTTACTTTGTAGATTTTTTTATTTTAGAAAACTATGCTTTAGTAGTCATGTTACGAAGTCGAAGGTAGCGGGTTCAAGTCTCGCTTGAAGCATTTGAATAGTCCACATCATTAGGATATCACTTATGTGATAGCTCATATGTTAGTGCTTAGATATAGGAACGAAGCTATTGCGCTAGTTTTTAGAAGTCTTGGAATCCCGTTAGGGAATGGGTATAAACAATAAAAAGTGTAAAATAGTTTTAACATTTTTATTAGATTCAACTTTTTTGTCAGGTTTCATTAGAATTTATTTAGCATCAGCAAAATATATATAAAATAACACTAATTTATAATAATTTATTTTATAATAATGTAGAAATTCAAATTTTTATTGCAAATTAAATCTGTTTTAAAGCCAAGTTGTTTTTGTATTTCGACCAGAGGATGTTGTGCGTTATGCAAATAACGTGATATCATCGGGCAAGGAGTTGACAAAAACAAGCTTTTCCATTATTGAAACTATGTATTTTTTAATAATTTCTACAATTTCTTTTACTGTCTATGAAATAAATATCAATTATAAACAATTGATAGTTTTATTGTTAGTTTGTATATGTCGACATTTCAAGTTTACAGATAAAATTTTTATAGTATTTTTTAAAATATTTTTTTAATCGATGAAAGTGAATCTAGTACTATGATATTGTGCGTTTTAGAACACTGGACCCTACAAACATTTAGATTTCCTTTAAAAACTGTCTATTGATAAACTCGTACATATAAATTACACTGGATGTAGAAATAGCATCGACATCTCATAACATCTCGTCAACTATAGGTACCGTTAGTACAAAACTCTCACCCACTGGACTATAGACGCAGTTCTGCGATAGAAAACAATCTTACAAAAAGTACAATCTTTATATTAAACTTAAATAACTTAATACTTGTTATAACTATATAATATAACCTGAGATCTTTTCAGCATATTTCGGAGCGGGGTCGGAGCGCCCGCGCCCGAGGGCGCCGCCCGCGCCGGCCCCGCGCCCTCACCCTTACTCTCGCTAACTAACTCACATTAAAGTATATTTCTCATTTAAATTTTATACATTACAAAAGTAGTATCACAAACAAATGTACGAACTAGTACAATTACGAAAAACGCCCGCTCCGTCGGAGGGGCCTCTAATAAATACCATCGAGATGCACGTAATATACTCTACAACTTGACCATAGAATCGAACTCGAAACAAAAAATAATACGTAACACTAAGTCGATCAGGGTACCAAGTTGGTAGTACCAACTACCATATCACTCGCGCGGCGGCGGCTGAGATCACGGTGCGCACCTAACGCCGCCGCGCCGCCCGCTCGCACGCCCAACCAACCAACCAACCATACGCTACTACTATACATTACATATCACGCTGTGCTTTTTTTCTCTTATTAAAAATATAATTAATATACATATTTTAATAATATTGATATTTGTTAAAATAACGATACGTAGATATCGAGGAGGGCAATCAGTCGGCTCGCTCGCACCACGCTATCACAGGCTCCCAGGCTCTTAGCTCACTCCGACTGGCTTCGGAATAGCTTTTTCTTTTCTATCGTGAACTGGGGGCTGATGATGATCGTGCCGCCTCTCGTTAAATTTCTGTAAAAGGAGAAAATCATTAGTAAACTAGAACAGAAACAGTTTAAAAAATATATTTAATTGTAATTAATTTTATGTCGATCAATTGCATCAGCAATATGAGAAACTCACTTTAAGAATTGCGGCAGCAGGCTGGTCCAGTTGGTCGCATCGTGTTCCAGATGCAGGTGTATTTCGTGCGTCGTGAGCGTGTTGGGGTCTATTTTGAAGGCGGCCAGGCGGCGGCCGGCCACGTCGACGATGACTGCCGCGCCGCGGGAACCGCAGGGCTCGCCCTCTGCCAATGCTAGCGTCTGCCTCGAAGCCCTGGCCAGCAGTTCTGCTGGGACCAGGACTTCGGCGGTGGCTAACTCGCTGGCCCCCTTCGCAGCCCTAAGCTCCCTCTCGAGCCTTTGAGCCAACGCCGTCTCCGTCGGTACCGGCATAGGCGCCTCTCGCCATGTCGGCCCATTCCATGCTATAACAATAGAAAAAGATCGTTATCGACTTGTCTATGTAATCTAATTAATTTTAAATTAGTTGTGTATTATAATTCAGTATATTATTGTGTAAAGATTTAATAGTTACAAGATAACTGAGCAAAGTAAGGTTCAAATTCATTAGAGGGTGAAGTAACAGCTGTTGTGTCAGCTGACCGTGACGTTTTGGGCCGGCCTCCTCGGGCGGCTCGAGTGGGCATCTTATGTTTCGAGCCGGTTAGTTGCGAAGGTTTCATCATCCCGGCAACAGATAGCCGCGGCACTCGGGGCTGCGCGCGCTGCATAGCAACACGGCGGAGCCGGTTAGAAAGTCTACTTCCCTCACCAGTTTCACGAACGCATACGAATAGAAAGTAGACTCACCTTTTTCACTACTGAATCCGACGTTAAACTGACTCGTGACCGGCAGAATCTCCATGTTTTCCAAATTTTTACTTATATTGTACACTTTTTATACGAAAAAAATTAAAGCGTTCCGATGTGGAACTTACTAGCAAAATATCACAAATGTATTTTGTACTGCGCACTGAACGACCGGGATTACCGGGACTAGCTGTCGTGAGAGATCGAGGAACGTTCGGGTTTAACACGAATGCATCAGATCTGATCTCGTAACCTTAGGGCTTCGTGTTGCCCTTGGCTAACTGTTTAACCCACCCGACCCTGTCGCTTTCTGTGACGGACTGACGATGCCGGGAAGTGATCGCGGTATATATAGAAGGCCGAGGGCGGGGGTGCGGGGAGTCTCTCCGCGGGGGGCCGCGGGGGTCCCGCACGCCAGTCGCGATGGACCGTGGAGCGGAGCACACGTCTCTGTGTCGCTCGATACCGGCTTCATACAAAAGCCGGCCGGCTTCTTTGTTCTAGTTCCGGTGAAGTTCGGAAATATTTCCAAAGTGTTGTAAATTCGCGCGTGATATTGTATTCGAGTTCTAAAGTTTGCCTGTTGTTTATATTTTAGTTATAAGTCGGCTGTTTTATAGTAATCTTAAGTATAATGTATAAACTGTGTTATCGGGCGTCAGAACGGCTAGCCGGTTGATGACGTGTTCGTACAGTAGTTTACATCAGATTATTAAAAAAATATATAACATTGTATAATTTTGTAATTATTGTAATGAAATTTGTAAGAAAATTAACATCTTTAATCGTTAAAAATGAATCGAAATATTGTCAAGTATCATTTAGCGGATAGGCATTGTTTTGAAAAAGGCACCGAACAATGCCTTTTGTTTAATTTGTCGTCGATGCCCTGGGAACGCACTTAGCAACAGAATGGTGCAAGACACTAAAAAAATTTGAGTAACACTTATAAAATGTTGCATAAGCCTACTAGAACTTTCTGTTGGTACAATAGAGATAAATTATATTAAGAATTTATTTCTTAGAAACTAGGTATTGCTAATTACTTAGAAGTGTTAAATTATGATGAACTAACTTATTTAATGTAGTTGTTCGTGAATAACAAGAATTTATGTTTCAATTACAAGTATATATTATGACTGGAGAATAGCGATAGAAGCAATCATTAAATTATATTTCAAAAGTGAAAATAATGCATTTCTAGTATTATATTTTACTAAAGTCGTACCTGAATATACAGTATTTTAAGTTTATCTTATCATTGTGATTTTAGATACGAAAATAACATGAAAAAGTGACATAGCAACCAAACTAACATTTCGAAACAATCTAATAATTGTTTTAAGTATAAATTAAAAAAGGTACATATTTTTAATATTTTATAAATATTTTTGAACTTTCACTGTATTACTATTACGATCATTGTTTTTTTTTTTTTCAAAATTTTATTTAGGTAAGTACCTACTAAAATCGATTACAAAATACAATTCATTTATAATAATTAATTATGTAACGTAAAGCTAATAATGGAAATAGAAATAATAATATCTTTTAGATAAGATCTTTTAAATTATACCTATTAAAGTTGATGTGTAAAACTTTAATCTCAATTGGAATCAGTATTATAAAGAAAACAATAGAACAAAAGGAAAAGAAAGGTTAGTTGCTACGCGATGCCGGCCGGCACCTCGGCCTTGAAAGTGACTCACGGTTCAACTTTGAAGCTACATATTTTTATTTAGTTAAAACCACATTATAATACGTAAATAGAAGCGTTTAAAAATTCTAACGTTTAAAATGTAAATATTATGTACTATGAAATAAAACCGATGAATTAATAATGATTATTGATTAATGATAGCACAGTTTAAAAATCATATTTTTTTTTATTCTTTAGGCATTTAAAAATGTTGCTTTGGAATCTATTACATTTGTTAACTTATTTATTTGTTTTTTATAGATAAAGTTGTTATTAAATTATTTAAAAATAACAAAAAATAATGTTTAATTTAATTTGTTATAGTGCTAAAATATTAGTGTTAGGTTTATTGATAAGTCATTTGATGTTTCCATAAAAAAAATATTATAAAGTTAACAATTAAAAAACATTATCTTACAGTATGTAAAAATTTAGTATCTCTATCTGTTATATACAGGTAAAAAAAATCTAAAATAAAGACTAGAATTGAGACTAAAGTAATTTTACATCTTGGACATTACAGTTGCAACTAATATTTTTTATTACCTGCTCACTTAACTAACCGGCAAAATGGTAAGTTGATAAATCTTCTAAATTGTTTGTAAAAAAGCTTTCTTTTTATAAATCTTTACTTGCGAATTATTATAAAAGTATAAAATTTATTTTACTAAAATTTTAAGTATAAAAAGGTATTGATGACAGATTAAATTTAATTTTCAAACCAATTCCTTAATTGTAACCTTTCACAAAAAGAATATTTGGTAAAAATAATTTATATTAGGTACTTTAGTTAAATAATGTTTACTACTAAAAGATAAAAATCAAGCTTTATATTTAAAATAGAGATGTTTAGGACTATGCAATATTTTCAATAATTATACTATGGCAACATGTTAATAGTAATTGAATAAGAGACTGAATTCTGTTTTAATAGATATATAAAAAACATGTATTTTGTATTTTTCATAAAGGTAACTTTAAGCTAACATACATTGTGACTACAGGTATAATTTAGTGGATTTTTTATTATTAATTTTTTTTCAGAATTAAATAAAAAAACATTTGGAGGTGTGATTTAAATGTTTTTTTTTTATAATAATTATATATATATATATATATAATATATATATATATATATATATATATATATATATATATCACTGTATTAGATGTTTCTAAATCACAAATTTATACCTGACAAAATGTGTCTGTAATGCATAAAGATTTATTTACACTAATAAAATATTTTTTATTTAATAACAGTATTTTATTTCTCTTTCATATCATCACTGAAATCACAATTTTTAACAAAAGTCGTTAATAAAAGTATGTTAATATTTTCTATTCACTTTATTCAATTTATCTTGATATGTTTTATTTACTGGCATTTTTCGACATAAGTATACTGAAAATCAATTTTACATTATATTATTTAAAAAATATAAAAGTTATCAAATAAGATTTAGTTATTTGATTTTTTAATATATAACATTAAATATGATAATAATTACGTGATCCAGTTAAAGTTAAAGAGTAAAATTGAAATAAATATAAAGATAATTTAAGTTAGAAAAAAACCTACGACTTTCAAAAAACCTTAATAATCGCAAACTGGCTGAATGTTTCTAAAGACATTAATCCTGATAATAGTATTTTATTATTCTATACTAGGCTTTATTAATATTTTTCTTTGTATTCCCATGCATATATAAAATCATTTACATACAATACAATTTTCCCATACAAACTTTTTTCATGCATATGGTTTAATTAATTTTTTTAAAGCAGCCATGTCTTAGACTAGCTATGAAAACTAAGCAAAGCTTTCTCATTTATAAGTGTGAGTATCTGATGAACTTGATATATTATAATAATTATAGATTAATGGCAGTCAATGAGCAAAGAGCTAATGCAATTTCATAATCTTACTTCTAAGTATGATGCAAAAGTGTGTGATATGACACTTCTTAGGTTAAAGGTCTAGACTCTAGACAGAAAAGATATGTTAGGTGATTTCATAAGAATAATAAAAGTTATGTTAATTTTACATTTCTATTAGGTATGTATTATTTTATACTTTATTCCAATAAGGTCTTTATTACTTGAAAGTAGGATAAATATGGATTTGTAATATTTCTAATGTTACTCGACAGATGTCGCGGTTTGATTCCTGGACCATACAAATCTGTCTCGGTCTAGCATGACGATAGATACCGCACAGTAAAAAGTGTATTGTGAAACATACTTTTATTAAAGCATTTAGATTCATCAAATTAATTTTCGACACTTGACAATAAAATCAGGACCGCTTGACTGTTGTTTGTTAAACTTAGAATAGAGAAAGCTTTAGATAAATTGAAATATTTATTGATTTACAACCTCTATGTACATATGTATGAACTAACATGTCAGGTTGAATCGAGCATCGAACCCATGTCCATCTATCAGTTTCACACCCAAGTTACAATGCTTAATATTATAGTCATTACCTTTTGAATTAGTTGTTAATATATTAGCAGCTGAACCGAAAGACGTTTTGGAGTTTTATTTTTGTATATTTAAAAAAAATTGTATCTCGACAACAGTTCTAACTACCAGATACAACTATAGCTAAGGACTAACCTATAAATACACAAAAATCATCAAAATCGGTCAAGCAGATTATTTAGGTAGAAATTTAGAAGGAGCAGAAATACAAACACGCATACCGGAATTTCATATATAATTATTAAAGTAAAAAAATACTTATTACTTGTTTTTAATAAAAGTTAAGAGATGAATAAATATAGGTACGTATAAATCTATATGAAACTTATGCCCAGGAAACGTCGATTTCATGCAATAAGACAATCAGCTAACTTCAATACTTCAGCACTTGCCAGTAATAGTTAGTAACATCCAATTATAAAATATGATAAAACCGTCTGCGTTTATCGAATTTTGCAAACACGGCAGCCATTTTATCACTCTATAGTTGCATATTTTATGCATAACAATTAATGCACTTGTAAAAGATAAACATTTATCGTAATTTATGAGGCTATCGATCAAATTATAATAATACCACTTATTAATTATGGTGGAAAATATAAATAGATATTCACGTGTAATATCTTATGGCAAAAAATATGAGATCACTGTCAGTTCTGAGGAAACTAGGTAAAACTAACTTGACTGGTAACATGCGATATATTTTTTTAATGTTAAAACAATTATAAATATAATAGATAGATAACTGTTGTAATAGAATTTTAATAATGGTATGTAATTTATTCAGAAATAGTAAAAAATTGAGTGCGATATATATATATATATATATATATATATATATATATATATATATATATATACATATA